TTACTTTCTGAAATCAAACGTCACGTTGTCTCCAATCAGCATAAAAGGCGCCCACTGCCTCACTTCAGGGAAGCCGTTCTCTCGCATCCACTTCATAGCCTGGTGAAGAGATTCACTTGCACTTTCACCGCGCACAAGGTGCTCGTAGAAACGCCCCATAAACTGCTCTGTTGCTTCGTCTTCTATGGCCCACAACGCCACCAACACTGAGCGTGCACCGGATCCTAAAAACGCTCGGGCAATTCCAACCACTCCCTCAGCTCTAATGTGTCCAAGTGCGCTGTGACAACAGCTTAAGACAACTAGTTTCGCCGTAAGTTTAACTTCGGAAACATCAGCTGTTGTTAACACGTAATCGTCTTTATGCAAAGGCCTGTTGACAGGTCGCACTGGAGCAAGAACAATTTCTCCTCTTTCGGCATCACCATGTGCAGCAAAATGTATCAAACTTACTGAATGCATCGCTTCAAGTACCGCCTGCTTTGTTGCTTGACACCCTAACAAAGGTTGAACACCCAACCATTCGGCGATCATTTTCGCTTCCTTTCTTGCAAAAGACAGTTGAGAGAACTCACTCACACAGCTAACATCAGGATCACCCACTATCAACACACCCCTATCATTACACTGGGTTGCTGCTCTCTCCTGAATGAGCTTCAGAGTCGTCAAAGATGGAACAATGCGGATCCTGAAAGTCTCTGAAAGATACTTCCCATTTTCATCCTTTAACGATGCAAATGGAATTTTGTACAAGGAACGATCAGGAACAATGAGAATTTCGGGCTCGTCAAGAAGGTCAGCCACTGGAGCGATGAAAATCTTGTAAAGTAGCTCAAGAGTTGGTCTCGGTTCTTGTTCTTGATCGTCTTCACCCAATTCAACAAGGCGGAGAGCTGCAACTATATCTTCCTGAGCTTGAAATGACGAGGAGCAAGCGACCAAAGGGAACATTGATCGATCCTCGCAATGCCCTTGAAGTAGCTTCTGACCCCCTCTAACGGGTGGGTTTCTTAGAAAGGCGTTCAAATTTCCCACCGGTCCGATAGTCGAAACAGTTTCATTTCTTTTTATATGTCGGAAATGCACTGACTGTTTCTAATTCAGAATCCACAAATAAATATCCAGCACGAAATAGGAAATGTATAGACAAGTAAAGTTACTTCCTTTCTTGATGATCCCCTCAATGCCCATCCATGATTGTGGATCTAATGTAATTTGCTTTCCGGCAAAATACTGAGTTGACATTAACTCTGTCAAAGCCCTGGCTCGTCCAAGCTCTAAAACGTACAACGCTTTAACATAATCTCCTCTCTTACAAAACAACTCACTGAGAACTTGGTAGGGGGGAAAGTGTTTGTCTAAAAGAGACACCTTATGCGCGTCATGGTCCCCTAAAAAATTGCGTAAGTCCTCGCAGTTTCGGATGCTAGAAAAGAGATTCGAAATACTCTCCTCTGTGTTTCCTTCAAATATCATAACCCATGCAAGGTTGTTATGGCATGCGTACTGATTTTCGACGTCCCCAATTTCTTTACTTATTTTAAGTGCTTTTTCAATATTCTCCTTAGCCTCGGCATATTCTCCAAGGTAAGTATAAGCATGTCCTAGTGTTATATAACAAGCGCTTTCCGTTTCTTTGAGTCCAGTTTCTTTCGTTATCAAAAGTGCCTTCTTTAGGTATTGTACAGCCTTCGCATATTGACCATGGTCGCAGAAGAATATGGCAAAAGAGGAATAACACGAAGCCTCGCCCTCTCTATGGCCGATTTCCTTTTGAATTTCAAGTGCTTTCTGTGCGCAATTTTTACCGACAGCATACTCACCGACTGAGTATAACACATTTGCTGCGTTTATGTAATCTGTTGCCTCTCCTTCTCTGTCTCCTATTTCTTTTCTTATCAATAATGACTTGTGAATATATTCCATGGCCTTGTCATATTGTCCAAGTGATTTAAATATAATCCCTAGGTTTCCATAGCATATACCCATTCCTTGTTTGTCACCAATTTCTTTGCGTATCTCAAGTGCCTTTTCGACATATTTCTTAAAGTTATGGTATTGACCGAGATGATCAAAGAGTCCTCCGAGATGCCCATAACACGTTGCTTCATCGTGTCTGTTGCCAGTTTCTTGCTTGATGCGCAGTGCTTTCTCCAACAGTTCCTTTGCTTTCTCATATTTAAGTTGCCGTCTATACAAACCTGCCAGCCCCATGGCAAGTGAGCCTAACTGGTCACTAAATTCTCCAAATACTTGGACTGTGACCTCAAGAAGTTTTTCGCCCCACTCAGATGCTCTTGTGTAATCATGAATATAAGGATAAGCTTCGAAAAATATGTAACTTATGCGCAGATAGAGTATATTGAAGATTTTGGTATTATCTCTCCGCACCGTGTTGTTCAGGACAATGAGGCATTCCTCGGCTAACTGGATGGCTTTCCGTACAACCCAATTAGTTTGCGAAGCGCAGACGTATTTCCGGTGGAAATACGTCTGCGCTTCGTGGACTACAACCTGATTGGTGTTGAGAAGAAACCTCGCAATAGTAGTGCCAATAGAGATGACTTTGAACGCTTGTAAAATCTTCTGTACGTTTCCCGTGATATACATGTCTTCTGAAAGACAAGTAAACGACAAAATGTGTAAGTTTTGAACCTAGTTAACTTTATTAACATTCACTCTACAAATAATTACTGCAAAATTACATCCTGTGAAGGGGAAACATCCAATGGCGCTAGAGACGTTAAGAGCTATATTACATGGAAGAGTAAAATTTAATAAATAATATTAGAGTAAACTATTCCACTAAAACCGTTCTAAAACTATAATTACGGCTTCTCGCCCAGAAAAGAGGAAACCCTATTCTTGAAAGTTGAAATACTTTTAGCCCCCCTAACCTCATTTATAGGTAGGCTATTCCATACAATTGATTATTAAAAACAAGGTCCTTAGCCTGAATTTCAGACGATTACTTCGAGTCGAGCAGTAAAAACGACTCGAAGTACATGGAAGTAATCCGGTCTGAAATTCAGGCTACAAGGTCCTAGGCTTTGGTAGATTGTGCTAGCATAATTTTAAGCATAATTCAGCAAAACGAGCATTATTTGAAGCTTTTATTTCAGTTTAGCACTGCTAGCATAATCCGAGCTTTTATACGTTGAAAACAAAAAAACCCATCATAGCTCTAGAATAATTCAGTTTGCATTTTATTTCTGTATTGTATTTGTAAAATATTGAGGTCTGTGCTAAGGTCCATGGTCAAATATGGTCCGGCAGGCGGCAGAGGTGACCCTGTACGTAAGACTGAGACTCAGGCCACCACGCTTATGGCTTGGCAGCTCGGCCCCACAGGCCTCAGATCAGAGATAGCGTCGTCCTCGAGTACATTCACTTCCGGTGCCTACCGAGAGCTTTAATCTCTAGAAAACGTGTTCCTAAAAGTAATACCGGAAAGTACAAGGAAAGAGGTAACTGAGATCCAAAGAACATGAGTCGTCGTGATCGAATCGAAGAATTGCCAGGGGAAAATTTGTGTCTTCGAGGTGGAAAACTGTTTTGCAATGGGTTTAAGGAGATATTGAGCTCTAAAAAGAGCATTCTCAAAAACCACTTGGCTTCCAAAAAACATGCTGCAGGCAAAGAGAAGTTAAAAATGACAAAAAAGCGAGATCCTGTGTGCACATGCGTATTTGCGATACTAAAGACTGTAAGACTGGAAGGTGGAGTATATGAATGTTCATTAAAGTCAAAATTGATAGAGTTAAGCTACTGATGATCTTTATTTTCCTTAAAATCAGTGTAAAATCTAAGTAGCATAATTTCGGTGACAGAGAGCATAATTTTTAGAAAGTAGCATGATTTTGGCATAATTTCTAAAAAATATGAGCACTGCTAAAAGCATAATATGCTTTTTTTTCGAGCACAATCTACCAAAGCCTACAAGGTCCTGTAAAACATTCGTTCTTGAAAAATTTTAGTCAATATCCCGATCTTTACAAAATAAGAGCTTATCAGAGCAATTAATGTCATATTGCCCATTAATTTAACTAAATGAAAAAACAACGCCTCTTAAAAATCTCCTATCAATAAATGATTTCATATTCAACTTAGATATTCTAATTTCGTATCCACCATCACTTTTTAAGTCTACTCACGGGGCACCCACTTAATCCGTGTGTTTAACCGATTGTTATTTTATAGTAAATGTACTGGATTTACCGTTTNAGTCAAAATTGATAGAGTTAAGCTACTGATGATCTTTATTTTCCTTAAAATCAGTGTAAAATCTAAGTAGCATAATTTCGGTGACAGAGAGCATAATTTTTAGAAAGTAGCATGATTTTGGCATAATTTCTAAAAAATATGAGCACTGCTAAAAGCATAATATGCTTTTTTTTCGAGCACAATCTACCAAAGCCTACAAGGTCCTGTAAAACATTCGTTCTTGAAAAATTTTAGTCAATATCCCGATCTTTACAAAATAAGAGCTTATCAGAGCAATTAATGTCATATTGCCCATTAATTTAACTAAATGAAAAAACAACGCCTCTTAAAAATCTCCTATCAATAAATGATTTCATATTCAACTTAGATATTCTAATTTCGTATCCACCATCACTTTTTAAGTCTACTCACGGGGCACCCACTTAATCCGTGTGTTTAACCGATTGTTATTTTATAGTAAATGTACTGGATTTACCGTTTGCCTCACCCATTGGGATATATCGCTAAGTATGTATATAAATCAATGTTAAATAAATTAAATTATATTTACCTGTAGTAAATTGTCGTCCTTTTGCCTCAAAAGCGGTTTTTTTTTTTACGGATTTTGAGTTCGCCGTTTATTGTTATTAGGAACAGTAAACGACGAAGTCAAAATCCTTCAAAATCGCTAAAAAAAACCGCTTTTGAGGCAAAAGGACGGCTATATACCACAGGTAAGGTAATTTAACGTTTATTTAACACTGATTTATACACATACTTAGCGATATATCGCCGTGGGTGAGACAAACGGTACTATAAAATATCATCAGTTACACACAGATTGTGTGGGTCTCCTCTGGTCTAACTGGTTGCCCTTATCAAGGCAGCCACTAATTCAACAATATTACGCTTTGTGTGAGGATGCCAAATTTCAGAAAAATATTCTGAATGTGGTCTTACAGTACAAGACTACAGTAAAGTGTTCTCTTAGCAACAATATCCTAGATACCTACATGTTCTTCTAAGGGACTGGTCAAAAAGTATAGGCGGGGGTGGGCCGGAGCAGAGAGGGGGTGGGTCATGAGGTTTTGAGCCTTGTGAAAGGGGTGGGTCGTGCAATTTTCAGCTACCCTTAAGGCGTGGGTCACCCAATTTTTTACTAACTTCTAACGAGACAGTTGACTACACTTGTTATATAAAACACAGCCAACTGGAATTATTGCTAAAATACTCACAAACCTGTTGTGCGAGAAAATACAAAGGTTGACAGGCCGCACATCTATACGGGCGTGGAACTCTCTGTTAACCTTTTTTTTTTTTCGGCTCTAATGAGCATGTACTTTAATGCTTTAATGATTGGTGGTTCTTTAAAAATTTATTGAAGTTATAGTTGGTTTTGTATAAGATTCCTTTTTCTTTATTCAAGCTTCGTTTATAGTAGACACTGAGGGCTGGTATTGTGTCACGAATGACAATATTTCTTTTTCCTCCTTGTTGTTTTGTTTTAGGAGTTTAGACTCCCTTTTATTTTGTGAATTTTATTTTTGATAGTAGGTTTTCTATCAAAGATAGGGGGTACACAACGAGAATATAGTTCAAAACCACTTAAACATAGCATTGTTAAACGTATTTTAGTATTTAAACAGTAGATATAGGCATATTTTTATCCCCTAAAAATTTTTCATCTGTTCGGATCTCCTAGCTGAAAGTCTAGTGATACGAAAATTATAGGGATCAAAACTTACCTTTTCGAAAATTTCAACCTGAAAAAAGGCTCCCGAAAATTCTAGGTGACCTTTTTAGGGTAAAAATCCGTTAAAAATGGGCAATAATACCATTTTTTTAGATGTTCGAAAATCCTAGGAGGGGCAGACAGCAAGAAATTTTACAACAAATGTTCCGAAAATTCTAGATCTCAAATCGTCTTTCGAACAGATATTTTCCAAAAATTGACGTTGGGTGCCCCTGAAAGATTGTTGGTAGCCTCCGTCCGTCGAGCGTTTTTTTTTTTTAAATTTGAATTATTTTCCTCAAAGGTTGTTTCTGAGGAGGCTTCTCCTTTGACAAATTCCTTTTTAACATTTGGAGGGTGACACAGGTGAAATGTGTGTGCAAGAAGCTTTCCATTTGTTTAAAATGTGTCTTTGCATCAAGGATAGATTTTTCCTTGAATCTTGTGCCTTTGTTTACAACCGTGTCTAAAAACGCAGTCTCAGTGTCAAATGTTTCGGCCGTGAATTCAATAGTTGGGTGATGTAAGCTTGCTTGTTCAATGAAGGCTTCGATGTCTGGTTTACTCATGTCCCATAGGGAAAAGATATCGTGTATGTGGCATTTCCAAACTGTTGTTCGAAAGACAGTTTTGCTTAGAGTTGTTGTTTCAATATATGTCATGAAAATATTGGCAAAGGAATCAAAACTGCTCTCTTTGTGCCCATTGCAGTTCCATGGTTTTGTAGGTAGTGCTTTCCACCGAAGTGGAAAAAATTTTCTTTGAGGAT